ATGGATTCTTCAGGTTCTATTCTCAGACCACACCCAGATCATCCAATAGTATTGCAGGACCATATAAATTGCCAACCTGGATTTAAATCCTAGGTCCATCTAGTCCAGTAACCTGTCTCTGACAGTGGCTTGTACCAGATACTTCAGAGAAAGATATAAGAATGCTGCTGCAAGCAGATGTGGGATAATCTGCCCCATATTAGTTCTCATCCTGGTTTCTAATAGTCAGTCTTAAATCCTAAAGCATGAGCTTTCATAGCCCTTCCACAATATTTGTTGTTAACAAGTATATCCAGAGTTGTTATAATTATCTAAATAAATGCCCAATCCCTTACTGAACCTTGCTAAATTCTTGATTGTAATGAGTTCCTGTGGTAATGAGTTCCACAGTATAATTGCATGCTGTGTGCAAAAGAATTTGGTTTTGTTGGTTTTCAATTTCATTGAATGCCCCCTTCTTCTTTTGTATGACACAGGAAGAGCAGGAGTTCCCAATCTACCATCTCTAGACTGGTTTCATAGTAGCAGCCGTGTTAGTCTGTATCTGCAAAAAGACTCTCTAGACTCTCTAGACTATTTATTATTTGATATACTTTTATCATCTCCCCTCTTTTCATCTCCTTTCTAAAATGATCATCCACATTTTTCAGTTTCTCTTCATATGTGTTTTTCAATATGTTTGATCATTTTCATCACCTTCTCTGAGCCTCCTCTAGTTCTGCAATGTCCTTTTTCAAATGGGGTGACCAGTATTTCACACGGGATTTCAGATGAGGCCATGCCACTGATTTCTATAAAGATGTTATAATCTCTGTATTATTTGCCAGCCTATTCCTTATGAATACTTTGAAACATATGAACACATGAAAACATATGAATATTTTGTTTGTTTTGTTGACCACAGCTGCATATGTAATAGGGGTCTTCATTGAGCTGTCTACAGTGACACCCCAATGCCTTTGAGTATACCTTTGCAGGGAGAAAATGTTTGAACATGAGTGTTTTCCTGGTGGAGCTAGTAACTATCCTAGCAAAACAAACTACTAAAAGCCTATTTTATAGAAGTTGTTCTTGTCCTTGTTGAGACAAATGGTTAAGAACCTCAAGACTTGCCATGAGAAATAACCCAAAGTTAGATGTAGCTCTTGAACTGTTTGCTCCTAAGGGACAGAAAGGGGAAAAAAACAGCACAAGGGTGACTTGGTATTATCAAACATGCTTTGTGCCAGTTGCAGATAGTGCTATCTGCCAAAGATAAGCCTACTTTACTGATGCCTATCAACAACAGAAATTGGCCAAGATTTTCACACTGGCTTGCTTTCTTCCTTCCTCTCACAAATATTGTGCAAAATACAATATGCAGCTATAGTCTTAGGCATGTTATTTTTCCTGTAGGTTACAACCTATTCCACAAACATTCTACTGTTCTTTCAAATTGCTGGATGCACAGCCCCCCTGTCATTCTGCAACTATTGAGGCTATAGTTATACAGTTGCTCCTTTCTGTCCACGTGGCCTGTGAACAGCTTCATTAACCCGTTCTTTAGAACAATCCTTTAGAAAATGCTGGTTTCCCAAGACCAGAAATGACACTGAATGGTGAAGTTGCTCCAGGAACAGCTCCTGTAGCAGCAGTGGCTCATTGTCATTATTCTGCTTTTTCTGCCATGCTGAAGTTCCTGCTGCTGCCGCCGCCACATAGTCTGCTTGACTTTGAGAGTTGAAATACAGCCCAAGCAGCCTCTGGGTATTCACGGGTGCCAGCATAGCAGCATGAAGCGTTGGGTCCATGCTGGTTTAAAACCTCTGTGCAGACAAGCCCTAGTAGTTTTGTTTGCCCATTGTGAAAATAGGGTCCGTTTTAAAGAGTCTCAAGTCTGGTATCCAAAAACACTAATTGCTTTTGAAAATCTTGGCCTCTGTGGTCTCCCAAAATAACTTAACAAATGACACTGAAGCTGCTTCTGCAAATTTCAGCCACAAGGATTATTTGGACAAACTACAGCAGTAAGCGAAGTAGAGGACCGTTTTAGGTATGAGTAAAACAGTTTGTAATGTATTTGTCAATCAGTCTAGGAGTATCCTACCTCTAAAATGCCATTGTGACACTTTGGGGGCTCACTTAGATCAACGGGTGTTCTGTCACCGCCTGCCCTGTAACCCTCGGTGCTTCAGCACTATGCAGCTTTGTCTCACCAGCAACACGCTCACGGCATAGTGGCCTTATCCTGACCTGCCTGGTTACTCCTTCAGGGTGACACCAACAGCCCTTCCAGTCCCGAGTCTCCCCACAGACCATCTGCCCTGCACTGTCCAGTCCCTCTTTGTGGATACTCACAGAAGTTATTCAGTTTACTGCCTCCAAAGAGCCAGAGCACACATCACCCTGTTAGTTTAGAAGGGGACTTCACCCTTCATTTTAATACACAGCTCTGAGAAGGTTTTGTAATGAAAAAAGAATAAGTCTATTAACAAAGCACAGATAGGGTTACAAGTACAACAAAACAAAACATGCTTGCTAATGCCTAAAACTTAACTTTGGCAGGTTACAATCTTTATCTAAGGAGGTTTCTCACCTATAGTCATTTCCAGCTACTCTTTGTTTTCAAGTCAAGATGATCCACTCTGCATGAGCTCACAGGGTTCTGCTCCCTCTTTGTCCTCTAGGTGATAGATGCCAAAATGGCTTTCTGTTTCACCTTGTATTTTCCCAAATGTATCTATTTCAAGAGCCAGGAAGGCTTCCTGGGGGTGCAGGCTCCATCCCCATTTGTGATGGTTAAGTGGTCTTTCTCCCTCTTACCCTGCTTGTTTATCTTGATGTTTTTGTTTACTTTCCATGTAGATGTACTTTTCATTGTCCTCTGAGATATTTATTACCTAATTCAGTTTACATTGGAGACACAGGAAAACAAGCACAATAGCATTCCTTTGTCTAGGACAGGTTGGGATTAGGCATTGTTTGCAAAACACCTTTTAAGAATGTATTTCCAGCAGACATCTATCATTCTTTATAGACTGCCTGTACATATATCACACAATATTAACGAGCAGCATCTTACCAGTTTGCCTATGATACCTTACATCACACCTTTTAGCTCTTAAGTGCAGATTATGACAACAGTGGGGCAATGCGTGCATCAGGCCTGATGTGAAGGATTGTATGGTGTGGCATGCCCTCTGCCATTTGGCAGTCAGTGACTCCCTAGGTCATATTCATTGTACGATTGGGCATAATAATCACTCTACAGCAGGGAAAGGTGGGAAAGAAAGAAAGCAGCTCCCATCTCTGGGATGGAACCTTTGTGTTGCCGAGTCAGTGGCAATCTGGCATGGCTTAGTGCCCAATTAAAAGATTTGGTGGGCTGTTGATTTTAACATCCTGTCAATAGCTGCAAGAGAAGGGGGTGGGATGTGCCCGCATGAGGTGGTGATGCTTTTCTGCATAAGTGCTTTCAGGTGAGCATCCACCCTAAGAAAATACTTGGCCGGTGATAAGGACTTGTTTTCACTTTTAGTTTGGATGGAGCTGAATTTTTCTCTTTTTGAGCGCCACTTCTTCCTTTCTGGTGACCTCGTCATTTACTGAAAATGTATTGTGGCGGATTCACCCAACTGGAGCCCACACCTGCCATACATCAACCTTTTCCTGAACTAGATCCTCAAACAATCCCCAACAGAAATTGCCATGCTGTTAATCTAACAATGTCATTCAGCCCCTCCTCCTTGCCAGCGCTCTCCTCTCTTCCCCCCCAAGCTAGGCGGACTGCGCAGGGTGACAATGGGGGGGGGGGGGGCAGGGGCTCCGAAAGTCAGGGAGGGGTCTCCTGAGGCATGCACAGCTTGTGCCTCAACGAGGAGCCTGGAAAATGTGCAGACCCTGGCCGGTGAGTGCTGGGTGTGGGCGGGGCAGGGCAGGGCTGGCCCAGCCCCTGCAGGCAGGCTGCACAGCCTCTGCCCGAGGGCTCCTGCGCAGCATCAGCCCGTTTCCCTCCCTTCCTCTTGCTCAGGGATGCACCACCCTGCACCGCCGCTAGAGACAGGTGGGCCACAGGGCTGAAGGAGCAAGGAGAGTTCTCGACCTACGGGGGGGGCGCACAGTGGGGCCTGGCTCAAGCTTCCACCCTAGGGTTGTTGGGCAGTGGGCTCAGGTGGTGGGACTTAGGAGCCTGGCTGCACAGACCAGGGCTCCAGCCATGGGGTTTTGGGCACCAACACCTGGCTCCAGACGTGATGTTTCAGGTACTGACCCCCAGCTCTAGCCATGCAGCCTTGGCCTGCAGCCAGGCCCACAGGGCTTCAGGCTCCAACTCCTGGCCACATGGCAGCAGGCTCCAATCCCTGGCTCTCGCCGTGCGATGCCAACCCCCGGCCACACATTCCAACGCCCAGGTGCTGGCCCCCCAACCCCAGCCTTGGGTGCCGACCTGGGCTCCAGCGGCTGCTGGCCCTGGGCACCGAGCCACAGCCCCTGGCTGTGCAGCTCCTGGCCCTGGCTTCACAGTACCTGCCCGGGGCTCTGGTCGCTGGCACTGACCCTCCAGCCACACAGCTGACGACCCCTGGCTCTGGTCACAGGACTCATCACCGACCCCCATCACTCCTGGTCCCCGCTACTTCCCCCGGCCCCTGCTACCCCACCCCCCACTCCGGGGCTTAATTTGTCCTGGGGCTTACTGCAAAAAGTTATAACAACAAAAATGCAAATGTCGCTTTTCACAGCATTATTTTTATTATTGATTCTGCAACCCCCCCCCCCACCTACATAACTAAATGACAGGGATGTGGATGTGGCTAAGTACATTTTTATTTATTTTTCCTAAAGTTAATCAAGTATTTTAGGGAAAACTGTCAGTGCGGCCACCAGCAAGAGTTAGTGGCCGCACTCGCAGGCCACCAACAACGAGTTGTGAGACCCCCCCCCCCTTTACCCTTTCGGCTGCCTGTGCGGAGGGGGAGTTTTGCACCGGGGCTCGGTCCCGGGGGCCGCCGCAGCCGCTCCGTTTGCCCCCGCCCGGCCGCTCGGGGACTTGCTTTTTGTCGGCCAAACGAAAACCCGGGATCCGGAGGCAGCGCCCTCGCCTTTAACTCGCCGCCCCTTCAGCGGCAGGAGCCAGCGGAGCCGCCGAGTCTCAGTGCCGGAGCCGGGCTGCGGGACGCTGCGGCCGCCAGCGCCTCATGAGCCTGCCCTAGGGGCGGCGGGCGAAGCGGGGCTGCCTCGCCCCAGGGCGGCGGGCGGAGAAGGATGCTGCCGCGGGCAGGGCAGCTGCTCCGGAGCGCCAGGGGGAGATGGCAGCAGCCCCTGGCCGCCGCCGCCGCCAGAAGCGGTCGCTCCCTGCCGGCCGGGCCCCTGCCGGCTCCCCAGGTGAGGCGCGGGGCCGGGAAAGTTTGCACGGGGCAACTTCAGCGCCCGGGCGGCGCTTTCCTCCCCTGCCCGCTGCCGCCTCCGGCCGGCCGGGCTCCCGCGGCTGCTCGTGCCCCTCGCCGCGCTGCTGGGCCGGGGCAGGGCAGGGCGCGCGGGGGCAGCAGTTTGGGGGAGCGGAGCGTACGGGGGGGCGGGCTGTGATCCCCTGCACTCCCCCGGCGCGGACACCGGCCCCCGGGCACAGGGGGCGGCAGAAAGTTCCCCGCCGCCCCTCCGCGCGCTCCAGAGGATGGGCCAGCCCTTGGGGAGGGAGTTCAGCGCCGGATCTGCCCGCTCCGGTTTGTGTGCGAGGCTGATAGGGCTCCGGACAGTGAAACAAATGAGGTTGTAAGTGACTCATTGAAACTCACGCCCAGCCCGCGGGAGAGCGAAGAGCCTCTGCTTTTAACACGCACCCAGCCTGGGGCGGCGCGCCCTGCTGTTCCGGCGCACCTGAAGCAAAGGCATTTGGCAGCGGTCCTTGCTTTGCTAAGGGGAAGCCTGCCTGCCTGGGAGCGCGCAGCTTTTTGTTGGAGGTGAATTTAAACAGGATCAAGCGAAGTGGATTATGCTCCAAGTCTACCAGAGGAGGAAAATCTGTCTTGTTTTAAAAGCTCAAGTCAGGAACCTGACCATCAGCGCTGTCTTTATAATTTTTCCACTTCCTCCAGCGTTGTTGCCCTGCTCCCTGATAGGTTGATGATGAATCATCAGTGCAAACTGTATATGAGTAACAGTTGATTTAGCACAACTGTGTTATATGTCTGTTGATAAATATCTTTGGATAGAGAGGTGTGGTGAGGAGCATGCTGAAGAAGGGGAAAGTCTGAACTTTAAAGAGAAATCCTGTAAATAACTCCAGTTTTATAAATCAGTAAATGCCAAGAAATCTAAGGTTAAAATGGCCTGGCTATGGTTCTTAAAAGGATATTGGCAGGATTAGCATTTTAAGGCTTTTTTGTTATTGTAATTATTAGTAACAACCCAGTTACTAAAACTGAAATTTCTAACCATCATATTTAATTCTCACCATTTATGAGTTTACTGTTTCAACCTAAGGCCAGCGTGGACAATAAAACTACACTATTTGTGGAAATTGCAGTCACTTGTTCAGTTTCTGTTCATAATACAGTACTTACCAATTTCTGGATCATAAACATGAAGATAGTGCAGTTATTTCTGAATTTTCAGCACTGCAGGGGGAGTGTTAATAATATTGTAAAATATTGAAGGTATTTCTCAATATATGGCTTAGAAAATGTATTTTTCCCCCTTTTTTACACAAAAAATATACAAGTCAGCCATGCTGATAATGCAGCTTTAACTCAAATATTGTCTTTTGTATTTTCTGTATTCAAATGCGGAAGGATGCTTTGACAGTGTTTCATTTTGATTAGGACCAGTTCAGATGGAATATTGTATTCAGCTTTTAAATATAATCATGTTTTAAAGGTGGACTGAGAACTGCTAAAAGATTGAGCAGGGTGACCTGGTAGTCTAGGTTTGAATGCTGCAGCCTGACCTATTTATCGATGCAAGGGTCCTGCTGTGAGAATCTGACTGCAGCATCTGGAATGTCAGCATTCCCTCTCTGCTTACTTTGTCTTGGGAAGCAGCCTATTTCTCTGTGGTGGGCAGGTTGAAAGAAGGGCTTTTTAGTTCAGTAGTGATGAGGCAGGGGGCAGCTGTATATAGGGATAGGGGAATAGTATTGGGGAAACTAATAAACAGAAGCATATAACTTGATAGTTATTTACCTTTTTATGTTTTGCTTTTGCGTTCTTTATCTACTACTGTTTCCATTGCCTATTTAGGCTGTCAGTAGTTCTTTGGTGTAGGGGCCATCTCATGCTACGTGTTTATACAGTACCTAGCATAGTGAGGCCTCTGTCTTCACTGGGGCATCTAGGAGCTGTTGTAATATAAACACTAATGGTAGCAGTGCTATGTGGGAGATCAGAAAGCAGCAGCACCAAACCTGGATGAGGACAGTTGCGAAGGTAGCACCCACAGCCCCAAGTGACTATTATGGATATCTGAGTGCTGCTGACAGGTTTTGAAGAGAGTCCAGCTCTTCACCAGGGAACTGATGGCTGTAGTAGAATGAGGCTTTGAGGTTAGGAAGTTTAGTGGAGACAAGGGAGAGAGAGAAGGGAGCCTTTGAACCCTACAATGAACACGAAAGGCCATTGATGGATCCAGATTTATGAAGGTATCTGTATTGTGGATTTCATTTTTCTTCTTTCTATTTGAGGTGAACTAGTAGCTAGGAAATGCCATGTCTAATTACATGATGTGAGGGCTGCTCCTGATTTCCCTGCCCTAAGGTAGAAGCATTCTAGGTATCCCCTCTTTTCTTTCTCTTCTACTCTTGAAGCTGTTGGGGAAATCCATGTGGGTTGCCCTTTTGAGGGCTGTGGTGCCCCATTGCCTTATTCTCAAAGGGCATTAAACTTGTAAAAATTAGTCAATTAAATCCCCGCCCTTCCCAAAAAAGTATAGTTTTTAGGTACCACACCTATTTCTGAGTCCCCCTGTCAATTTATGTGCATTCAAGTGGTTATTTTAAAACCGCTTTTCTTTGTCATGTGTGGGAAAACCCACGGAAAAAACGTTGAAACGGACTATCTCAATAGGGAAACAATGAAATGGTCTATGCACAAAGTGCTGTTAAATGCACTAGTAAACAAACTGAAGAATAGCGATTTGTAGTTCGTAATTACTTTCACTTCTAGTAACCTTTCACTTCTAGTAAAATGAGTAAATTAAAAAAAAATCACTCTTCTCAGTATTTTAAGTTAGTATCCCTTTAAGAAATCTCTTTTAAAAACCCAAGCCACTGTCTGTGCAAAAAGGGTCAAAAATGCTACTTTTAAAAGAAAGGTCTGTTGAAAGGTATGGTTCTGTGGACAACATGGCCCGAGGTAACTATGTGACTGTGTACTAATAATCTGGAAAAAGGAGACAAATGTTGTTGACAAGTTCCACTGTCAGGATGTTTTTAAATTTTGACTATTAAAGAGTCCATCCAATTCTTTTTAAAAGTTTGCTCTGATGGAAGCTTAGCAAAATGTCGGTGCTAAACTCTCAACCTATTCAAGGACAAAATGTGTGACTGGGACACATGACAGACACAAATTCATAGAGGAAGTGTAAAAAATGTGTTTGGTTCATTTATTTAACATATGCAAGGTTTCCCTTAACTGAATTTTCCTGATGCAGTGTTCATAAAGTCAGTTGAAAGCAATGAACAGAGTGGACACTGGCTTTGGATGGAATGTCAATTAAACTGGGACTAAAATGGATGACACTCCATAATGAGGTACAGGAGAGCAGTATGGTCTGTGGCCATGTCTTCACTCGGAAGCAAGGTGTATTTGCTAATGTATGCTGGTGGAGTTAAACCCTGGGAAGGAAAAGGAAAAAGCTCCTTCCCAAGGTTTACCTTGACTAGCTAACACATATTAAAAGTACAACTTGCTTTGTCTATGTTTTGAAAATCTAGTGTTGTCAGAGCTGCACATACTCCAGCACATACTAAAGAAGTGGAATTAAAGGCTAGGCTGCTTGCTATGCTTAAACTCTATTAGCTTAGCACATGTTAAAGGCAGTGCAGCCAGGATTTTATCTCATGATTTCAGTGATAGATGTTGTCATTAGGTTATAATTTAAAGGTGATTTTTTTTTTAATTAAACAGACATTTCCATGCCTTGTTTGGAAGCCAAAACATTGTAGCACTAAGAACCTGAAAGTGAAAGTGATTATAACAAAAGTGAAATTGACTTCCCTAACTGCATAATTATTGAAAAATAAACAGGGCGTACAAGTAACAAGCCAGCTGTTTTTTTTTTTTTACTAATTTTCCCTCTAAAATTCTAAAATATTATTAGTAAGGTAGGTAAATGTGTTTACAGCATTTGTTTAATAGTTTGTTTAGTGTTAAATCACAAGGTGTGGGTCTGCAGCACAGTTCATTCAGCTGAAGCATTTGTTTCCATAACAATCATATACACCTCTTGTAGTAATTGACAGGGTACTTGCATTGAAAATTGTTCCAACAAATCAACCTGAACAATTTTGATCGTCTGGTAAAAGTGACTGAAGGCTCATTCAATTTAACACAAAGAAAACTTCCCTAAGGCCTGGTCTATGTTAGGAAATTAGGCTGGTATAACTGTGTCACTCAGGGGTGTGAAAAATCCACACTCCTCTGATTAACACAGTTATACCGACCTAATCCCTTTTGACCTAGCTACCGCCTCTCACTGAGGTGCAGTGCTGTGAGTGCAGACAAGCCCTGAGTGTTGTCCCAGGGAAATGCTTTCCTGATTAAGTGACTTTGACTGTAATTATTAATTTTTAACTAACCTTTTCAGTTACCATTTCTCCATATGTGGTGTTATATCCGTGGGATGTCATTGTTCTGTGTATTTAAAAAAAAAAAAGTATTTGGATCCTGGCTCTGGAGCGGAAGGATTATCCAGTGGTTATGGCACTTGCCCAGGGCTTAGGAGAACAGAGTTCAATTCTCTGCTCTGCTACAAACTTTGTATTACCTTGGGCAAGTCTCTTAGTCTTTCTGTGCACTAACTTCCCGATCTGTAAAATGGGTATGACAGTACTTCCCACTTCACAGAAGGGTTGGGCAGATAAATGTTATTTTGAGGCACTCAGATACTATGGTGATTAGGGTTACCATATTTCAGCAAGCAAAAAAGAGGACGGGAGGAGCCCCACCCTAGCCCCGCCCCTGCCCCTCCCACTTCCCGCCCGCCTCAGAACCTCCGACCCTCCCCCTGTTCCTTGTCCCCTGACTGCTCCCTCCTGGGACCCCTGCCCCTAACTGCCCCCCAGGACTCCACCCCCTACCTAAGCCTCCCTGCCTCTTGTCCCCTGACTGCCCCCTCCTGAGACCCTCCCCCATCTTAACTGGCTCCCAGGACCCTACCTGTACCCTGAC